ACACATGTGGGAGAAACGCCCAACGCCCGGGCTGCCCCCACCAGCCTCCACGGCCAGCAACACGAGCACCGCTGGGACCGGCAGGGGCATGTGCGTCACGGGAAAACAGCTGCCTGGTCGCGACGACGGGGCCCCCCACTCCCCACGCGCCCACACCACCAGGCCAGCAGGAGCACCCCTGAACCCGCAGGAGCCGTGGGTCACAGAAGCAAGGGCTGCCTGTCGTGGACGAGCGGGCCCCATCCCAAAGCCCCCACCCACCGCCGAGGCCAGCAAGGGAGCACCCCTGACCTGAGGAGGGCGTGGCGCACGTTACAGGCTCCTGTTCTCGGACGGAGGCCCCCACTCCCAAGGCCCACCACACCGAGGCCAGCCAAGGGAAGCACCCTGACCCGGCAGTGGAGGCGTGGCGGCTGCACAGGAACAGCCTGCTGTCCTCGGACGAGCCCCCATCCCAGGCCCCACCAGCCCTCCGGACGGCGGCCCAGCAAGGAGCCCCCACCCCTGGACCTGCAGCTCGGGAGCGTTGCGTCCACGGAAACGCAAGCTGGAACAGCTGCCTGTCGCGACGAGGCCCCACTCCCAAGGCCCCACCACGCCGAGGCCAGCAAGGAGCACCCTGACCTGCAGGAGCGTGGCGTCACAGAACAGCTGCCTGTCGCGACGAGGCCCCACTCCCAAGCCCCCACCACGCCGAGGCCAGCAAGGAGCACCCTGACCTGCAGGAGCGTGGCGTCACAGAACAGCTGCCTGTCGCGACGAGGCCCCACTCCCAAGGGCCCCCACCACACCGAGGCCACTCCCGGCCGACCATGGCCACACGCCCCGCCTCACACACTCCCAGTCTGTGCAGATTCAGCACACATATCTGAGACTGCGCTTCTCCACACGGCAGCCACTGGCGCAGGTGCCAAAGAGCTCGTCAAACACGGATGTTGCTTAATTCCAAACTCAAAGACACTCAAAGTGTCAACTCAGGGCCGAACTCAAGTATGCACCTCTACTTCTTTAACCTTAAATTCTATAACACTCCAGGTGCAGATCAAGTATTCACAATGAAAGTTTAGCATCCAGAGACTTTTCAGTAAGAAAATAAGAATGTAAGATATCTCTGATATTTCATATTGATTACATGTTGAAATCATATTCTTTTGGGTGTATATGGCTAAATAAAATATATTGCTAAAATTAATTTCTCGTCTCCTTTTTTTTTTTGAGACAGAGTCTCGCTTTGTTGCCCAGGCTAGAGTGAGTGCCGTGGCGTCAGCCTAGCTCACAGGAACCTCACACTCCTGGGCTCAAGCAGTCCTGCTGCCTCAGCCTCCCGCGTAGCTAGGACTACAGGCATGCGCCACCATGCCCAGCTAATTTTTTCTATATATATTAGTTGGACAATTAATTTCTTTCTATTTTTAGTAGAGACGGGGTCTCGCTTTTGCTCAGGCTGGTTTCGAACTCCTGACCTCGAGCGATCCTCCCGCCACAGCCTCCCAAAGTGCTGGGATTACAGGCCTGAGCCACCACACCTGGCCTCTCCTCTCCTTTTTGACGTGGTTCTTAGAAGGCTTAAAATTACTTCTGTGGCGTGCACCACATTTCCCTCAGACGGTGACGCCGCCAGACGAAGCTCCAGGCCCCACTCGCTCCGCCGGCGCCCCGAGGCCCCCTCACCTGCCGACTGCTCCGCGGGAGCCGCGCCAGCCGCACGCCCGACATGTCAAACAGCCGCACCTGCCGGTTGTCGTGGGGGAGGGCGATGATTTTCTGGCCGACGCAGACGTTGATCCTGCGAAGGGGAGACCACACACAGTGAGTCGTGCGTGAGACGGCAGCCCCGTGAGTCTCTGACTTCACAGAGGCTGACGCGGTGCTCACGCGCTGCGCACAGACCTGCCCCGCACGGACACACGCACGCGCGGCCAGCCACACATACCCCCACGCACAGGGTCGGTCCCCCAGGAAGGAAGCGGGAGTGCTGTGAGTCCCCCCACCCTGTGGCTCTGCCGCGCCGCCTGACCTCGCGCTGAACAGGGCAGGCGTCTGAGGCATGCCGCCATGTCGGAGGCGGGATAAGCACATTCCCTGGCGGTCTGCGCCCATCCCCAGGGCTCTGCCACGCAAGCGCGGGGGCTCTGGGAGCCAGACGTGAAACCACGGCCCCGCCCCCTTCGCGCCAGGCCGAGCCTCGCGCCAGGCCGAGCCTCGCGCCGCACCTGTTGATGGCGGAGTCCGTGCGGATGGTGGCGATGGGCGACCGCATGTTCTTCAGGTCCCAGACCTTCACTGTGCGGTCGTCGCTGCCCGACACCACGTTGTCGCCCACGGTGAACACCGCCGAGGTCACGGTGCTGCGGGCAAAGGCGACGGAGTCAGACACCATGGCACCCCTCCACACCCGCACCCTCCCCTCGGCACCCCACACCCTCCCCCTCTGCACCCCACAACACATCCCAGACCAGGTGAACAGCGGCCCCCATCTCTGCACCCCACACCCTCCCCCTCAGCACCCCACAACACATCCCTGACCGGGGTGAGCAGCACCCTCCATCTCTACACCCCATACCCTCCCCCTCAGCACTCCACAACACATCCCAGACCGGGGTGAGCAGTACTCCCCATCTCTGCACCCCACACCCTCCCCCTCTGCACCCCACAACACATCCCAGACCAGGTGAACAGCGGCCCCCATCTCTGCACCCCACACCCTCCCCCTCGGCACCCCACAACACATCCCCAACCAGGGTGAGCAGCGCCCTCCATCTCTACACCCCACACCCTCCCCCTCAGCACCCCACAACACATCCCAGACCGGGGTGAGCAGCGCCCTCCATCTCTACACCCCACACCCTCCCCCTCGGCACCCCACAACACATCCCAGACCGGGGTGAACAGCGCCCTCCATCTCTGCACCCCGCACCCCCCCTCGGCACCCCACAAAACATCCCAGACCAGAGTTGAACAGCACCCCCCATCTCTGCACCCCACACCCTCCCCTCTGCACCCCACAACACATCCCCGACCGGGGTGAGCAGCGCCCTCCATCTCTGCACCACACAACCTACAACCCTCTGCCCCCCCACCAAAACATTCCCAACAAAAGGTGAAGCAGCGCTCAAAAACACACATGCAAAAACACAACCACACCAACATCACAACCTACAGAAGAAACACATGAACACCAACACACCCAACACAAGCTGAACAGCGCCCAACACAGAGCGTCGAAACCAAAACTACCCGCACCCCTCGGCACCACAACACATCCCAGACCAGGGTTGAACAGCGCCCCCCATCTCTGCACCCCACACCCTCCCCTCTGCACCCCACAGGATCCTGCTCCCAGGGACCCGGCTGGGTGGAGGCCGACACCCCCACCAAGCTCCTCCACGCTGTGGAGCGAGGAGCCGCTCTCTCAGCGACTGCTCTGCTCCGCCGTCTCTGGGCAGCGCGCACAGAGAAGCTTCCAGAAAATGTGGGCCACACAGAACCCGACAAAATGCCTATACACGAGGCTCTGGCAGCAGAGAATTAAGAAAGCCCTTTCCAACAGCAGCTCCCAGTTTAACAAGAACACCCGAGTCAGAGAAAACTCCAGCAACTCAACAGCTCAAAAGTGGGCACAGGGCGTCAGGGGACGCCTTCCCAAAGCAGACGCCGAAATGGCCGATGAGCACACGAAGACGCCAACGTCACCGGCCACGAGGGACACGCAAGGCAAAGCCTCAGTGGGATGCCACTGCGCACCCACCAGGATGGCTACCATCAAGCCAAAGCCAGAAAACAGAAAACAACGAACGCTGACAAAGATGCAGAGAAGTCAGAACTCTTATCTGCATGGAAGAAAAGGACCCTTGGGGTTCGACTGTGGCCTGGGTGCCGCTCTTTCCTAAACGCGATGACACAACAGGCCTAAGCAGCCACAGCGGCCGGCCGGGCTTGGCAAAGCAGGGGGCTCGGTCTCCCGCTGACTTCTCCTGGGACTGGAGTCCTCGGCAGGTGCTGGCCAAGTTCGACTTCGGTTAACATTCTGCTACACCGATGGAAAAAAGCCTCAACAAAAGACCGCCTGACCCCGTGTTAATGGAATGCTAGCAGACGTTAGGTCTTTAATAAATCACCGCCGTGACAGGTATTGTGGGACATCAGAAGGAAACCCTGGCAGGGAGGCGGAGGTTCAGAGGCGCCCTCGGAGCCAGGGTCTCCCGGGGAGCCGCGACTGCTCCCTGGAAAAGCTCCCCACTCTGCCAAACTGCAGCGCGGCCATTTGTCTTGTCGTGGGCGCGGCGGAGCGTGCACCTCCAGCTGACGGCCGCGCCTGCTCGCCGCGTCCAGCGCCGCCCCGCACGCCCTGCTCCCCTGCGGTCTCCGTCAGCGCAAACGCGGCGGCGCGCGCTCCGCTCATTAGGGGCAGCAGCTGCCTGCGCAGTCACACGGAGACGCAAAGCTGCTCCGCGCAACACTCCGCCGGGCTCCACGGCTGCGGAGGGAGGCGCGCGGCGCGGAAAGCGCTGACGCCTCCTGGCCCCGCGCCAAACGCCCGCTGCGGTTTCCGTTTCTCGCTTTTGAGACTCGCTTTTGAGACTCGGCTTCCTAGAAAATGGCGCTTTCCTACCCGAGAGCAGAGCGGGGCGTTGCAGGGCGAGGCCCGTCTGCTCCAGGCGCAGAGTCCGCAGAGAGGCGCGTCCGCGAGGGCGTGGCCGTGACCTGCACACGCTCACATCGCGGCACCTGCGCCGCCCAGCAGACCCTACGGAAAGGGCGTCGTCAGGGTCACCACCGGCCTAGAGCCGGCGCAGCCGCAGGGACCAGCCTGCACGGCACGACACAGTCGCGGCACAACCGCACCCTCCGCGCGGGCTCGCCAGAGCGCCACACTCCTCCCACCGCTGTCCCGAGCCTGCGTTTAGAACCGGACTCTGCCAGATGAGGACGCAACAGACGAACACGGCTCCCTGCGCCTGCCGTTTGGAATCACGGAGCTCACGCCGGCCTGCGCTTTCAGAGTCCACACGGACTGAGAAACAGAAAGCCGTGGCCAAATGAGACATTTGAACATGCCTTGACGGCCGACTCCCAGGAGAAGTGACCCAAGACAACAGTCACGGGAAAAGCCAGACGAGTCACACGTGATTCTGTTTCAGGATTTGAAATACAGCCGTTCCCTGGAAAACAGCAGCTGACTCTCCTCGCGTGGGGTCGGTTCTGCCTCCACGTCCTCACTGGGTCACACGGGCGTGGGAACCTCCGTCAGGGGCAACGGGGACATCCCACACCCACTGCCGGGAAGCCGACCTGCACTGGCCCTGAAGGAAGTTGCGCTGAGCACCGGCCGCATGCCCGGCCCTGCGCGAGTGCCCAGAGAAGGGGTCGCGCCTCCCTCTGTCAGTGAAGACGGCCGCCGGCGCAGGGATTTGGGCAGTTTCAGGGCACATGGCGTCATTCCATGGCTGCCGCGTGCCGCTGGCTGTCACCGCGCCAGAGCCACACACAGGCTTCTGAGAGCCCGTCTGTCATGGGTCCGGAGGAGGGGGGGTGGTGCTGATGTGACTTGGGTGTCGGAGCAAGGTGGGCCGTCACTGGGCCACACTCACCTTAGGGCTTTACTAACTCAATTAGTGAGAACTTTCCACAAAGCTGCTCCAAGAAGACATTCAGTTCAACACGGCCTGGTCTGAAGCCGCTACACTGAAGTTAAAATCAGTGAGATTTACACAGTCACTTCACTTTTGGGGCATCAAGGGTCCCCGGTGCTCTGCCGCCCTGTGCCCCACCCAGACCCACAGCCGCAGCGCCAATGAGAAGGAACCGTGGCTGTGGCCGCCCGTCGTCTCAGCAAACACCTCCTCGGCAGGTGGGATTCCACAGCGGACGGTTGTCACTCCACAGCGGGCGGCTGTCACAGCTATGCCCTGCACACACACTCCGTGCCCTCGGGCCGCTGTGTCTCGGGGATGACCTGCGCGGCCCCCACACTCGCCCCGGGCTCCACGCTGCCCACGGCCCCAGGTGCCCCCTGACACCTACGACCAGGGCCGCTTCCACGCCACGACAGCAGCAGAGCCACGCCGCCAGGTCGGCACGGAAGGGGCCCTCCATCCTCAGACCAGGGACGCGAGGCTCTCTCCTCCCTCTGCCGTCCTTCCCTGGCTGCTCCCTCCTGCCTCCAGGCCCCACGTCACCCACCAGGTTACCAGAAAGCCACGAGGCCACCCACGACGCAGCCCGAGGGCTCGGGTGGCAGATGATCCTGGGTGCACCTCCCACCTCACTGGGGGACGTTAACGTTGATTCATTCTTTCAAACGACAACTCACAGCTCTGACACATTCCTCCCTCGGGAGACTTTACAGTCGCATGACGACGTGATGTGTCTTCAGACGGCTCCTTCCTGTGAGACGCAGCTCGGTGCAAACACAGAGCCTTAGTTCTTAAACCCTCCCCACAGCAGCTGCCGCTTGGAACACTGGCAGCCCAGTCACACCCCACAAGACACAGTCCTTCCTTTTCAAATTAGACAGACAACATTTCAAAAAATCTTCTTTATTATTAACCAAATCAAGCTGCCTTTATTAAATTGTTTACACTTACTATTCTGAATACCTAAAAAAACAGAGTTCTGAGTTAGGACCATTAACAGTGAGAACGCTCCCAAGCTATTCACTAAGAAGAACAAAAGAATTTCTTCTAGGCAATTATATAAAAGGAAACAACCACTATAGGAACGCTGAATATGGTGCCCAGACTAAGTACACAACACTCAGCTCTGTGATCTCTGTACTAAGTACTCAGCACTCAGCTCTGTGGTCTCTGCACTGAGTACTCAGCACTTGGCTCTGTGGTCTCTGCACTGAGCACTGAGCACTCGGCTCTGTGTTCTTGTGACGTGCTGTTGCACGTGCCGGTCTCACCGCCCTTGAGGACCAGACCGTCCCCACAGCCACCTGCACTCGCAGGCCTGCACACGGGCTTCACAAGCAGAATACGGAAGAACATTCCTAACTTCCCCACCCTCGAGTTCTCACTCCATAAAAACAGCCTCGAGGCTTTTACTCAGGGTTAACCGTTACTGCTCTGTCAGTTTTTAAACATGAGAAGCCACACGTACGTGAAACAGGGAATTGGAAGAGAGGCAATGTCACACACCAACACAAAAATGGCAGAAGGCAGCAGCCCACTTGCAGAGAAGCCAAACAAACACAGGAGGCGTCAGAACTGCAAGCCCACAGCCTCGGGGACCGTCAGAGCCAGAGCAGCGCATGCCCAGATGCCCGAGAGCATCGCCGCTGCCCCCCCTACAGTAGACGCGCACACTCAAAATAGTTAAGGTCTTAGCCACTTCCGCGCGGCGC